TCATGCGAAAATGCCATATGGCTGCCCTAATTTGCATACAATTCCAATATGGCACTATTTATTATATGTATTAAATGTTTATCTTGCATGAGGATTTCTTATTCGGATTGCCAATGGTTAAAACTGTTTAGACTATCGAATAACAAATTACTACGTACATAATTTATCTCCATCATTATCAATTGTCATATAGCTAAGAAATTAGAATTAGCAGTTATGTATTAGCGATCTTGTCTAGGGCTTTTAAAATGTAAGAATTGCCAGTATTTAAATCTAGAAAAAAACATGTTCCACGGGGAATGGGCATAATATAAGGCTACACTACCGCCACATAGAAAATCACCAGTGCGCCGAATTCCTAAAGTATAGTGTGACGACTTGCCAGACGATTGCTGTAAGTTGACGCATAAACATTGCAGTATATCAAGATTGCCACCTAAAATTCTACCTCTAATGTTAACGGGCCCACTTGGGAATATTTCCAAGGGTTGGGATGCAACGTCTCATCTCGATATTATGTGGAAAAGAGTGCTCTCTGTTAGGCTCTCATAGGCCAGTCGTGGTCTGGGATGATGCAGATCGTTACAGCACCGCATCCATATCCAGACACTCACTGTGATGTTTCTGCCCGATGATTGATCTTGAATCCTTACAGACCACTCTTGCATCTACTCTATTGCCTGAATTTTCGTTTCATCTCCAGGGCATTGCAGATAAACGTTATGCCGGTTATCACATTTGGACCAGCTCTGTTCTGCGAAAGCACTGACAATAATTACGGTCACGCATCATGCATGGCTGACCATTTCCTACAGCACATATAGTCCTGCGGCTGGGGGGGTTCACATCGAGATATAGCTACCCTTGGTAGCATTGGTTCATCTGATGGCAGGGTTCGGGACTTGCCAGAATACTTGCAGCTTACGTACGCTAGAAACTCCGTAAAGCCACATGCTCACTGGTTAAAGGCCGTGTCTCGAGCATAGGGGTGCGTGGACATTATGCTGGTAGACGCCTGCCACTGCAACACCACTTCTTATTGCTCATGCCTTACAAATGTGCCCCTACCGACCAAGGGAGACAGTGCGAGCACAGGACCCCCAAAGAAGAGACAGAGGGTTTTGCATGATCCCCACCAACGCTTTACAAAAAGATACTGAAGAGACAGATTTGACAGAGCAGAACATTGGTATGACAGGGCCAATGCTCCCAGCGATGTCAATGTGAAGAAGTGTGTTCTGCTTGATGTTTTTAAGGGAGAATCAGAGAAAAATTGAGTAAGAATGAAACAGAAGCAGGACAATGAGAACATCACTTGCTGGGGCTACAATATATAGAGATGATAACATTTACTGCGTAGTTCCTCAAAGCTGAGCGCCAATGGCAACGGAAATTGCATCTCCAGTCCGATACAAAAATTTGAACATTTTTCGCAGCCGGGCCACATTCGGCATACATATGTACTTGCAAAATGATCCGTGACTTGCGCGCAAACACATCAGACATCTACAAGAAGTTTTGAGGAGGTATACCATGTAGTGAGGCGAAGTGGGGAGGTATTGGGCAGGATTATTCAACATAGCTCATCAATCGAGCAGGTTCTAATGAGAAGTTAAGACAAAATGGGACGGGGACTGACGAGAGGAAAAGGGGATGACAGAAACACAAACGTATGGGTTCTCTCAGATGCCAGCATGTGGCGAACATCAATGGGCCATGCAGCCATAGCTGGTGGGCTTCCTATGAACAACGAGCAGCACAAGCGACTGTTCAAAGACTCGTCAAACCAGAAATGTAATTGAACACTCTCGATTATAAACCAGCTTTCGTCCGAGGAGCAGAGACTCATTGTTCAGACTATTCACGTTTCAACATTGCCAATGGCTATGCAGCACAAGATGGCGTCAATGTGAAGAATCAAGACGGTATTGCGTGAGATATTCTTTGCCTCTATGGTCGACAAATCAGTGGAAGCAGTTCACGTTCCAGAAAGCTGACCAAAGCAGTTACCTATCGCCTTCCAAATCTACAATGATAGATCAAAGAAACAAGCTGTTGAAAGTAGACCCGCCAGCTGACTTATTCCAGCAGACAATGGTCCTTTGTTGCTGAGCACTCTGAAAATTTGCCATCACGATTCAAATATGAGCTGTGCGGTCCCCTCCTGCCCTTGTTTTGATTCGTACGGTCTTGCATTGCACGGCCAGAAAGCAAGCCCTCGCCGTGCTCGTGTCGAACATCGTAAGAGAAGCTGCAACGAGAGCCCAGTTGAGCTATGCACTACGTCCTATGATCGGTGTTGCTCTCCTCCATCGACTTCCATGGCCAGAGAGTCCACATATTTGTAATGACGTGTGTAAAATTTAATGTTACAATACGTTGTGCGATACGTATGGGACTTCGCTGATGTTGTATGACGGCTTACAGTGACGGCGGCCAACAACAAAAGATGGAACACACATCAGAAGAACAGGTGGTCGTCGCAGTGTTACCAGTCAATTTTAAAGGGTGTATGGTCATCCAGGACGAAGATAGCGAGGGATTTCCTGAGCAACGTCATCAAAACAAGCAACGTTCCTGAACCATCTCATCTGAATCTTCAGAAGTGCTGGTTGTACCACACATCATTGCGAATTGACGATGCTGACGTCTCATAGTGAAAAGACTTCCATAAGCATCCACTCAAGATCTCGTGACACTGTTCTGGTTGGAGATGACACGAGATTAAGATACTCATCATGCTGAAATGCGATTCCCATGAGCGTTCTTTGCACCCTGAGATCCACAACAGTCCTCACAAAAGAACAAGATATGGTGCATCAAAAAAGCCAAAGTGATGCGTAACTTGGCCCATCAGTGATTGACCACTATCCTGTTCGCCCATTGCATAGTCGGCTGTGATCACCACATCTCGGTCCAATTTGCGGCTTAGGAACAGGACTAGGTCTATTAAGTAAACTTCACGAAATTAATGCAACGTGTTCGGCAGAGGCCGACGGTATTTATGAAATCTGGACAGGGATTACAAGAATCAGCGGTCTCGCGAGAGAAGGCTCCTAGTGCACTCTATGGGTGGACAGACATGGGAAAAATTAGATGACTGAAATACAAGCGTTTTTTGTGACAAGGTCGTGAAGCGCAATGTCCATGTAGAGCCACTGACGCTACATCCATCATCAGCAGCGGCAAAGGTATCACAGCATGTCGATATGTCTTATCAAGTACATGGCAAATAGAAAAGGAGAAGCTTTAATACTGAAACCTGACGTAATGGGCTGGATGCGCGACTTGTGGACAATAATTACCTGCCAATACTGACTGATCATACCTGGCAGCACCATCAGAGCTTCTAGATTATTGTGATATTGTGGGTTGTAAGAAGGACTGCTCTTCAAGAAGATGCATGCTGCAAGAAAATTGGCATGCCTTGTACAGCAGCCTGGTACGGTAGTGTCGCTGGCACAAGCTGCTCTAACGCCGCAAATACCTGACACCACTATATTGAAGACCTTCAACAATGTACTGTTATATAATGTCCTTGCATGCAGTATGTTTGACGAAATTTGCAGTTTAAAGTCCTCCTGATACAAATTATGTCAAATGTAACAAGAAATATTTCTAATTCTAATTTCGAAATATATGCAATTGGATAATAATGAGATAAAGATGGTACTAGTATTGGTTTATTGTAGTCACAAATAACCATTTGGCAATTCCGAATAATGAAATGCTGCATTGCAAACATTAACATTGAGTACATACTTATTATTTAGCGGACCATATTGGTTTATGCAAATTAAGGCAGCTCATAATTGCATTTTCGCTATGATAGGGAGTGATCCATTTTTATTCTCAATATAAGTAAATGCATGTCTCCATGCCTAACAATCATCATAATAGTAGCTTTCATTTACTCAAATATATCCTTGGATAGCAGAAATATTGCAAAATAATGGAAATCTGGCGGCCATTTGGAATTTATGGTATAGTATGGCGGGCCATATTGCATTTTTGCATCCAGGGAGTGAACCATTTGCATTCTAAATATTAGTCTCAATGCAATTGGCCCATTGCCAATAATAATTAAAATAGAACTTTTAACAATTACTGAAATTGTCTTTGGCATTAGCAGAGATATTGCAAAATAATGGAAATTGGCGCCATTTTGCGATTTATGCAAAATTATGCAAAATTGTTTCGTGGGAGAATTTCTTTTAGGACTTTTTAGGAACTTGGTGTTCTTGGGGTCATCACAGAAATTCCCTGTGAAAGACGAAAATTCGTTGCTTTTTTTTTATAGGTTGGCTGCAAAAATGACCTAGATTGCCTTGGACTAATACATCTGATGGACATGGCATGCTCCTCAAAAGATTTCGGGTTCCTTTCCTAAAACGCCACCTAGTGTTCGAAGAAAGATTTTTTGTTTTTTACTATGCAGAAACGTGTATGTCCGAAAGGTTTTCGATATTTCCTACTTACTATATTGTCGATATGCTAATCTATTACTAATACACGGTTTTGCGCAATGATTCCATCTATTCTATCTATCTATCTATTCTATCTATTCTATCTAATCTATGCTATCGTAGCTATTATCTATCTTATCGTATCTATCTTACTCTATCTATCTATCTAATCTATCTATCTCATTTAATCTAATCTATCTACCTAGCCATCTATCTATTTTTCTATCTATCTATTTATCTACCTATTCATCTATCTATCTATCCATCTATCTATTTATCTATCTATCTATACATATCTATCTATCTATCTATCTATCATCTATCTATCTATCTTATTCTACCATCTATCTTATCTATCTATACTATCTCACTTCTATCTTTATCATTATCTATCTATCTATCTATCTATCTACCTAGCCATCTATCTATCTTGCTATCTATCTATTTATCTACCTATCCATCTATTTATCTATCTATCTATCTACCTATCTATCTATTTATCTATCTGTCTATCTATCTAGCTATATAGATATCTATCTATTTATCTATCTATAGATATCTATCTATCTATCTATCTATTCATTATGAATATTATTTAATATCAGGAATAAGCGAAAAAGTGAAAAATAGAGAGTGTGAGACGAGTGAATAAAAAAAGAGAGAGAAAGAAAGAGAGAGAGCGAGAGAGAGAGAGAGAGAGACGCGCATATTAGAAAAAAGAAGCGATGGCGGGTGAAAGTAAGATGAGAGGGGGGTGCGAGACAGCGCGAGGAGTCAGACAGTTGTCATTCTGCTACAAACACAGCGAGCGGCGTCTACTGTTTCCCATGACACCCAGGCACTTGCAGATTCGCAGCCTATATTTCCATTTTGCCGTTGGCCACGTCAATCACGACGCCTTCAAGTGCGCTGCCTGAAAAAAATAAAAGGCAAAATTAGGGTGTATTGAATTTACCGTCGGACACCAACGGCGCGCATTTTTTCACAGGTACAGTCTGTACACTATTGACGCGTAAGCTTGCTTTCTCGCTGTATGAGAATACTATTTCTGTTTGTATACGATGGTCATTGTATGTAATGTTTTTATGGTATTTGATAACAAGGTTTAAATAAATATATATATTTTTATTTATTTATATATTTATATATAATGAGTTGATAAGTGTTTTTACAAGAAAATTGCAAACAATAAAGCACTATACATTTCACACGATATTATAACAACCGTACTGTTTCAGGCGCTGTGATAGCGAGAGAACATGGGCTGCCCTGCATTGTTTCTGCAAAGAGAGCTACCCATGTTTTCAATACAGGTATTTCATTACCAGAAATGAAAATGGAATTTAATAAATTTATAATACAATATTGAATGACAACTGATATATAGAGATAACATATAGATGGCATTTTGATAATAGTGTGCGCAGTTTATACATAACGTGCACTTTCTATCAGGCCCATTGCTTTTTGCTGCAAAGAGTCTGATAGAAATCTTTAAATTTAGTATTATGAAATAATCAGCACGAGTAAGATAAATTTTAAAACATTTATTAAATTAGTAAAACATTATCATAATTTAATCAGGTGTTCAAATTATCCTGAAACAGACTATCTCCGAATCAGTCTACTGAAGTCTTCCAAATCAGACATTAGAGCTAGTTTAATGTAGTAGGAAGCGCCCCCATTGACTGAAAATATTATTATTACGGTATAACGTTAACTCAGTGTGATTACCTTCTCACAGGTGAGGAGGTGATTCTGAATGGAACCCTTGGCACAATCGCGAAGGTCACTCCGCCTACCAGCCACGGGGATAATGATGCGCTATCAGATAGCCATGGCTAAATCACGCTATGATGCATGAGGTAGTATTATATATCCACAACAAACGCCAACACACACACAAACACACATACACACACACACACACACACACACACAACACACACACACACACCACACCACAACACACACACACACACACACACACACACACACACCACACACGCACAAGATATAAATATAAATATAAATATATTGTATTGGAAAATGCAATCACTAGTTAGTGTAGAACAAATAATTTTAACGCGCGAGTAAAAACAATTTCACGTATATATTTGCTCGTGTGGTTTGTAATTGCAATTCGTCTACGCAATATGGACTCTTTCTCCGAGCAGGAAATTATGTTAGACGCCAGTTGGTTATGAGTGTGTCGCGAGGAAAGCTCCCGTGCTCGTTGCCGAACTGACATATCAATTAGGAAAAGTGTCA